TCTGCCATTAGAACAGACACGCCTGCAGCTGTACCCTCGTAACATGACGAGTGCGCTCCACTTCCCTTTACGCTTTTATAATCACAGATGAGGGAATTTTATTTACACACAAAATATTTATGACAGCGATTTTATTCCATAGTATGTGCATATACAGTTGAGGTCAGAATTATTCACCCCCCTTTAAAAATGTTTTCTTTCTTTGTTAAATATTTCCCAGATGATGTTGAACAGATTGAGGAAATGTTCACAGTGTGTCTGATAATGTTTGTTCTTCTGGAGAAAGTCTGATTAGTTTTATTTGGGCTGGAATAAAAGCAGTTTTTAATTGTTTAAACAGCATTTTAAGCTCAATATTATTCGCTCTTTAAGCTATATTTGTTTCTGATAGTCTCCAGAACAAACCATCATTATACAATAACTTGCCTAATTCCCCTAACCTGCCTAGTTCCCCTAATTACCCTAGTGAAGCCTTTACATGTCACTTTAAGCTGTATAGAAGTGTCTTGAAGAATATCTAGTCTAATATTATTTACTGTCATCATGATGAAGAGGAAATAAATCAGTTATTAGAGATGAGTTATGAACACTGTTATGATCAGAGATGTGCTGGAGAAATCTGCTCTCTGATACACAGAAATTGGGGGAAAACATGAACAGGGGGCGAATAATTCTGACTTCAGCTGTACATCTGTGCACGTATTTGTGCATGTGTATCTGTATGTATGTATGTGTGTGTGTGTGTGTGTGTGTGTGTGTGTGTTTATGTGTGTGTGTGTGCTTCACCTTGGGCAGTGTGTTGGCCAGCAGGCGGTCCAGCAGTCTCTCTGAGTCGGCTCCGGTCACCTTCATCTTCCCGAAAGGTGAAAGGTCGATCACTCCCACCGCCTGCATCACCTGCGCACACTCGCGGCCCACCGGAGCAAACCAGTTCGTCCTCCTGAAGCTGGGTCTGCAGACAGGACCAGACACACACACACACACACACACACACACACATACATACACACACACACACACACACACACTTCAACTGCAGTGTCTGCGCTGTCTTCTGCACTAACAGATCTCACCTGTCTCAGATCTGTGATATCTCTCGATGTGTGTATGTGTGTGTGTGTGTGTGTGTGTGTGTGTGTGTGTGTGTGTGTGTGTGTGTGTGTGTGTGTGTGCTCACCTGTATCCAGTGTGGTCTCCAGGTTTGTGGAAGTAGTGTGGCTGCTCCCAGCCGCTGTGGAAGCCCATGGAGCATCGGTGTTTCAGCAGCTCATACACACCGCTGACCCGCACAGTGGGCCGGCCCGCGAAACGCTCCTCTTTGGGGAAACCCACTGAAACAGCAGCGGGGGGATTCAGTATAATACAGCAGAGCCACACACACACACACACACACACTCCATAAGACTCTCTCACATTCACACACACACACACACACTCACTCACCCACATTGTTGAAGCCGTACGACTCTCTGGCTTTGGCGCAGACGTACGGGACGGTGGTCCAGTGGCCGTAGCGGTTCGGGTCGCACTCGATCAGGTCATACGGTGGTTCACCATTAATGATCCAGTCGCTCAGAAACCTTCCCACGCCGCCAGAGTGGATGATCCCATACCTGTCAATCACAGCACACCTGTCAATCATCACTCAAGATCATCACTGAAGGTCAAAGGTCAACACAGACTCATTCCTGAAACAGTTTTGCTGACCGCATTACATCTGCACATCAATAATGCTGCAGCATGATGAAGTATGACTCCATAACCGGCACTCTGGAATCACACTGAATCACTGCTGTCACCATGTCACAAACCGCCGTCTTTCATCTGAGGAATATCGCTACGCTATGAAGCATGCTATCTATCTCAGTATGAGCTCTAGATGAGATGACTGTAATGCTCTGCTGGTCCTCTGCAGACCTCTATTAATAAGCTTCAGTCTGTGAAGCTGCAGCGTCAGAGTTCTCAGCAGCTCCAGCAGATATGTCCGTATTATTCTGTATTGATGATCAATTATTGCTTCTTCCCTATAAATCTGTGAATAACCCAGCTCCTGTTCATCTGACCCAGCTTCTGTCTCGCTACAGCCCAACCCGCTCTTCAAGAGCTCTACACTCAGGACTTCTGAAGAGCAGAGTCCACTAAAGGAGGTCGAGTCTTCTCCTTTATGGCTCCTGAACTCTGGAATAGTCCTCCTGATGATGTCGAGGCTCAGACACACTCTCTCAGCTCAACACTAGAGTACACACACATCTCTGCAGTGACGCAACCCCTTCACCTCTGTGATGTGGATAGTGCTGCTTTTAAACAATAGCTAGTGTGAAAGCACTATATAGAGCTTGAACTGAACTGAATGTGAGTTTGGGAAATAAATAAAAAACATTTGGAGAAACTGACATTTTCCATAACAAATCAGGTTCAACATGAACATCAGAAATACTTGCCGAAGTGGACACGAGTCCGAGTTTTCAAAGTGAATTTCAATTTTGGGCGAAATCAAAGGGGCCTTTTTTTTTTTTTTTTTTTTTTTTTTTTTTTTTTTTTAAATTTTTTTTTTTTTTTTTTTTTTTTTTTTTTTTTATTAAAGAGGTCAATCAAATACAATTACATACATAGAGACAAATAATACAAATAAATAAACAAATGCACAGAAATACACACAAAGACAAATAAACGCCAGGGTAACAAAAATAGGACTGATGAAATAAAGTTACATCTTAAAGAGACACAAAAGAAGAATATAAGGATACCGTTTTTGTTGCTTTTGGATGAAGAGAATGCTGGATAGTTTCCAAATATTGGTCTAGGTCGATTTTGAATAGATCAAAAAAAGGTTTAGAGCCACTAAACTTCTGTTTGTGAATATGAAACTTGGCTAATAGAATACACAAATTAACTACATATACTTTTTCCATGTTTTCTTTTGAGTCATCAAATAATCCAAAGAATATAACTTTAAAAGAAAAGGAAAAGTCACTCATAATCAAAGGTGCTGCATTGAATCACTAATGAAACTGAATCACAGTTATTGGACTGAATCAAATTAGCTGAACTGAATCTCTAATGAAACTGAATCACAGTTATTGGACTGAATCAAATTAGCTGAACTGAATCACTAATGAAACTGAATCACAGTTATTGGACTGAATCAAATTAGCTGAACTGAATCACTAATGAAACTGAATCACGGTTATTGGACTGAATCATGCTAGCTGAACTGGATCACAAATGAAACTGAATCAGTTATTTCACTGAATCAAATTAGCTGAACTGAATCACTAATGAATGTGAATCAGAAACTTCACTGAATCAAATTAGCAGAACTGAATCCCATTTATTGAACTGAATGCCAACTGAACAGAATCAGAGTTATCAAACTGAATCCCGGTACTTACACTGAATCACAGTTATTGGACTGAATCAAATTAGCTGAACTGTATCAGTAATGAAACTTAATCACAGTTACTGGACTGAATCAAAATAGCTAAATTGAATCAGTAACGAAACTGAATCGCAGTTACTGAACTGAATCAGAGTTATCAAACTGAATCCCGGTAGTTAAACTGAATCACAGTTATTGGACTGAATCAAATTAGCTGAACTGAATCACTAGTGAAACTGAATTAGTTATTTCACTGAATCAAATTAGCTGAACTGAATCACTAATGAAACGGAATCAGTTATTTCACTGAATCAAATAAGCTGAACTGAATCACTAAAGAAACAGAATCAGTTACTTCACTGAATCAAATTAGCTGAACTGAATCAGTAATGAAACTGAATCAGTAACTTCACTGAATCAAATTAGCTGAACTGAATCACTAATGAAACTGAATCAGTAACTTCACTGAATCAGTAACTTCACTGAATATCAGTTACTGAACTGAATCAGAGTTATCAAACTAAATCCCAGTTATTCAACTGAATCAATTTAGCTAAACTGAATCCCGGTATTTAAACTGAATCACAGTAGCTGAACTGTATCAGTAGTGAAACTGAAACTGAACTGAATCCCAGTTATTGAACCGACTCCCAGTAGTTGAACTGAATCCCAGCAGCTGAAGTGAATCAGTAACGGAGCTCACCCGAATCCAATGGCTGTCCAGTAGTTGCGTGCGCCCTGATGTGGGCCGATCATGGGCAGGAGATCAGGTGTGTATGTGATCGGGCCTGACACGATGTTGATGATGTCAGCGTTCTTCAGCACTGGCACCATCTCCATCGCCATCTCCACATGATCCATGATACGGTCCAGATCTGACTCAAACAGCTCCTTCCCGAAGCCTTCAGCATATGCACACACACACACACACACACACACACTCTGAGTTTTCATGTCTTACAGGCTCTCCACACACAGCTGTTCTGATGTTTGTACTGTACAGACTGTAGATTCTCTCCTCTCCCCTAAATTCAACCCTCACAGCAAACTATCTGCACTTCTACATCATCACACTCCTTCACTCTGGCAGATTTATGAGCAGTTTTCCTCATGGAGACCAAAAAATTCAACACACAAGCTCAAAACGATCTGGTATTGCTATACTTGTGGGGACATTTGGTGCACACACTGTAATGAACACATGATACACTCGCGCACACACACTCACTCACACACACACCTGCAGGGACCCCGTCAGTGATCCAGCTGTCCTGCAGCTTCATCTTCTCCTCTCTCTCGTAGGGGCCGAACAGTAGGCCGTCCCGCTCCTGCCGCAGGTAATAAGAACCCTCCAGATCCCGGATCACCGGCAGCTCCGTCTGCAGCGCCTGCACCTCCGGCACGCTGCCCGTCACCACATACTGATGATGCACGGGCACGGTGGGATGCGGGAAACCCAACATCTGACCCAGCTCACGCGCCCAGAACCCTGACACACACACACACACACACACACACACACACACACAATACAAGTCATTGGAAACTGTACTTGATTTAGACACACTCCACTCAAGTCGTCTATTCCATATGTAATTTTGTAATATTGTTTCAAATTTCCAGCAAATAATAAAACAAAAACAACACAGTGTGGTCAAACAGCTGAGCGGCCACCATGCCCAACACCAAACACACATCCTACTTGCTCCTATGCCCCTATATAGTGACAATAATACTTTTTTCCATGTTAATCCTTTAATATTTAATATGTAAAGCTGTTTGTGTGCTGCTGTGCATCCCTCTGTGTGGGATAAGCATGTGTATGAGCGCTTTAGTCCTACTTACACACATAATACTATATATAAGCACTGTTTTAATGACTAAAAATAAACAGCAGTTCATTTCTGTTGCCTCAAATGTAAATGCATTAATGTAAACAACACGGTGCAGGACGTGAAGACGGAACTAGCAAATAAAAACACTCATGATCTACAGCTCGAAGACTGGATTATAGTTCAGAAAAACAGATCAGACACACAAACACTGAGCTCTCCCTGAAATATACACACAGAACCTGATCTGTCCATCTGAAATAACCCACAGCTCACATGCTACACACACACCACACACACACACACACACACACCATATGTGTAATGCTGTTTATACTAGGCCTGTTATTCTGTTCACTTTTCCTTTTGAATCCTCCTGTGTGTGTGTGTGTGTGTGTGTGGGGTGTGTGTGTGGTGTGTGCGGGGTTTTTTTTAAAAAAAAAACAAAGTGTTTTGTTTTTTTATTTAAGAGAGAGCGCAGGGGGGGGGTGTGTTTTTTTTTTTTAAAAAAAAAAAACCCCCCCGCGAGAGGGGGGTTTTGTGTGTGTATATATGCGAGCCCCCCCCCCGCGCGCTGTATTTTTTTTTTTATA